AGGAGGATCCAATCTGTCTCAATCTCTGTTTTGTGACTTCCATGCACGGCCTTTGATATTTACAGAGTCCTTTGAGCCTCCAACCCTGTTCTTGTAGAGGAAAATATTACAAAGGTTCTCTTCCTCTTAATGTTCTTCCTTTCTGCCAATGGAATTCCGTATCAGTGGAATTTTAAAATGCCCTTTCTTAAGGTTATAGAAAAGAAAAATAAGGTTTGTGTAACACGACAATATCCTGAAGTCCTGGGTAATAGCAGGGAAGAGAAAATCGTGAAGGAAAAACAAAGCAATAATACGGAAGCAGATGGCATGTGGCTCCTCCCCTCCCCCATTCTCTCCCGCCTCTGGCTCTGGTCCTCAGAGGAGAGGGAGGAATGGGGCTCTGTTCTGCCAGGGCAGCTGCCACACCTCCTAGTGTGTGTCCTCCCACTCCCTTCCCTGGTGGGAGCCCTGGTGGCATTGGAGGCCACAGGGCTGGCTTTGTTAAAGTACAGCATACACCATGGGATGTGCATGTATGTATGTACCCAGCGGCGGTGTTCCTGCTGCCCAGCAAGGGGCAAAGATGCTTCATTGACCTGTTGTAAGAGCTCAGTGTCATGTATTAGGACATTATTAAATTTGAACCCATTTTGCAAAATATTTAAGTTCATCCATTGTATTCCCCGTTTTCACATTTTAAGACTAGTCATTTACCATCTAGGAACAGTGACTCTATAAATGTAATACGTGTTTTACACAGAGTGGAGTAGTGGTCACAGCTGCAGGCAGGTTTTTTTTCTCTATTGTGATAAAAAAAAAAATCCTGGTTTAGAGCCCCACCCAAGCATTTGATAAAACTGTTACTGACATACTCTCCAAAAATCAGATGGGTAGTGACTACATTTACAAAGAATCCAGCATTTATAATAAAAATGCTACGCTACTGAGCAGATCAAGGCTGACTTCTGTTGGCAAATAACTACTCCCTGGCTCCAAGGCTCTAGGGCTGCCAGCTCCTGGGCCCACAAGCCTGTGAGCAACTTTGGGGTTTGGGGGTAGGCTCTTTTCTTGGTGTGGAGTGTAGTGGGGGGACGGAATCTTTTAACAAGTCTTTAAATCAGAGGAACAGAGAGAGCTGTTATAAAACCTTAAAAGCCATTCTAAACCAGCGCCAGGCTTTAAATCATATATTTGAATTAGAACAAGATAACAAAGAATATCTCACCAAGTGTAAATTAAAGAAAAATCTGAACTATAAGAACAGCTTAAAGAAATACAGCTTTAACAATGCTAATTACCCACAGTAACTCAACAAATAAAAGATAACATAGTAGAGATCCTATTTTCCTAAACCAACATGAATATAGAGTATGTCTATTTATAGGTGAGTTGGTGCTTCTAGGGTGTCAAAAAGATGACTTACTCATTTGCTCAGAGGCTCTTGATGAATATTTTGGGTCTGTACCAGCCTCTCTGGGCTCAACATGTGAGGTTCACTACATAATAAACATTGAATCTTTGTCACCTTATGTCTCCTTTGATGAAGATGACGACCCTGGAAAGCCTAGAAAAAGAGAAATCAAGGATTTTGTCTTTCTCATGAGTAGCTGAAACCCCTTGTGAGATTAACAGGGTCAAGTAAGAAAATCATGAATTCTTGATTCATGACTTTAGAATGAGCTGATAATTGCATTCTGATCTGTGCTACACTATTTAGGTGCCTAGACCAAAATGAGATAGTTAATGCTAGATTTGAATTGGAAATGACTTCATTAATGCCAGATCCCCTGAATAAGGCTGGGCTTGTCCCAGGCTGCAGCGAAATGTATTGGCTTCCCGCCCCCATTGACATCCTCAGATACCCTAAAATTGATGCTAGCCATTTTTTTTCTTAATTTAATTCAATTAGAACTAACTTGATGAAGGTTATCTTGCATTAAAAAACAATAAGCCTCTGCTACAAGCAGTTAATTTTTTCCTCGCCATTTTGGAGCATTTCCCAGGCTGGGCGGGAGAGGGTGGAGGGGGAAGAGCAGGGTATTGTTACTTTTTATGATGAAATGTCTCCATCTAGTGGAACTTCAGAGCAGTAAATGCTGTCAGTATGTTAAAGTGAAGATTATGTCTCCGAAGCCATTTCCTTAAACACATACAGTGTTTAAAGAAAAAAATAAACTTCCACATATGTTCTTAGATGATATCCTTACAACTGTATGTATTCCTTTTGGAAGGCATAGAAGTGAGACCAGTACAAACTGTTAAGATATTAACATTTTTAATGTCATGATTTGAACCTGAGAGGGGTGCTTACAGTAGGGGAGCAGCACAGTGCAGATCCCACGCAGTTGGTAACGATCTAGCTCTTAAGTTGGGCAGTGGGTTCACGGGGTTCGTATATGCTGTACCTATGTTCTTCAGTGTGTGTAAATATTTCCTAACAAAGATCTAGACATGAACTAAATTTAAGATTATGAATAAATCTAGACATGAACTAAATTTTATGAATAAAGAACTTTCTGAATATGAGTACTGTACTTTTGGTGGATTTGTAGTAGGGTTAAAAAAAGAGATTAGGAAACTAATGGAAACATAAGGTTGTAAAAACCTGTGCTGGCACCTTGGGTTTTTTGTGGGCTATTCTATTCCTTATGCCACCAAACACTTTCCCACAACATCACCCGCAGCACACGCTGGCTTGTCACCTTTATTCTCTTGCTCTGTTAAATCCGATCTGGAGGCATTGCTCACTGCTCACCTTGCTCAGAGTCCAGCTTTAGAGAGCGGCCTCTGGAATAAGGCTCGAGTTTCATGTGGAGGCTGGTTTTTCTCTACCTGATTAAATCCGTCTGGGGAGCATCTTTACCATGGCCAAAAGCCAACACATTTTTTTGCGTGGGTGAAAGCTTTGACACAGAACCCAGCCAAAAAAACGAGTTTTAAAAAAAATGCCTGGAGTTTCGCTTGCTGCCTCCAAGGACCAAAAATGGAGGAAGAGAAGGTGCCAAGCCCCAGGAGATCAGCTTTGCTGGGAGGTCTGATTTGCTCGAGGGCAGTCATGTCGTTGACTGCAGGCTGGTGGAAGGTTCTGCAGATACTCAATGGATGTCAGAGCCACAGCGCCACATCCATTGCCTCTCCGATGTTAATGGGATGAGGTACACACTCCATTCCTGCTGTTTGTCACAGGTAGCCCTGTGTGAATCTAAACAGATGAACTTGAACTGCTTAATGTACTCACTGGCTTTAAGATGGAAGTAGCGACAAGCTCCCCTTTCACCTCCTCTGAGAGCTCCCCAGGTTGATACCACACTGCCGTGCTGTGGCATGGAGCCTAAGGCAGTGCAAAGTGGCATGACTAAAAATCTCACTCCCTTGCCGAGTTTCTGTGCTTCCTGTGTGCGAGCACACGCAGCCATACCCACCCTCCCCACTTGCCCATCAGCCTCAGGCCAGTGCTCTGGACATTTGATGGAATCACCTCAGATTGAAAATGCCTGGGGAAGGCGAGCCTACTCTAGTCTTCATCATTCTACCTGTAGAGAGGTGTCTCCCCATTTTTTTGAGAGCAAGCCAGGCACGTGTTTAGAGCATGCCTTCATCGCTCACCAGACCTCCTAACCTCCCAGTGTTAGGATGTTAACATTTTTGATGTCATGATTTGAACCTGAAAGAGAGAGGTGCTTACAATAGGGGAGCAGCACCGTGCAGCTCAGATTGGCCTCAGACCTCCTAACAAGCTTCCCTTCCCAGATGATCTGCAGCTAACATGTTTTACTTAATTCGGCTGAGGCCGGGTTCCTTTTCCCTCTGTCCAAGTTGAGGACACTAACCAAGCAAAATGCCCCCTACCAAGGGAGACCTCTCATGGCCAGGGTCCCACATTCTTAATTCACGAGTAAGACAAGAGACAACCATGGGTTCATCTCATGGCTGACTCGAACTGGAACCTTCTGACCTTCATGTGGGGGCTGTGTTGGAATTCAGGGTAAAGGAATAGATGAGAGAAATCAGGTGGCAGGATAATTAGGTGACAGTTACCCATTTCAGACCACAGTGAGTCTGTAACTGCAAGCTGTTGAAATGGTCAACATATTTACTTTTCTTTTTTCTTTTTTCTTTACAGGGAAGGAGATTGGTGGGAAGCCCGCTCCTTGACAACTGGAGAGACAGGTTACATTCCCAGCAATTATGTGGCTCCAGTTGACTCTATCCAGGCAGAAGAGTATGTTTCGTTTTATTTTCACTTAACTACTTGATTTTAAAAGTTGGTTGCCACAACAGAATGCCATTAACATTGGGCAGGAGGGGGAAGAAATTCACAGCAGTGATTAAGGCTGAGTTTTTCAGGCTTTCTGCCCTGGTTTTTACCCTGTGTAATACTTGCACTGTTATTAACTTAATGTTTTTCTTGAAGCCTGCTCACTTATTTTGAAAGAAAACTTTCTATCAATATCCTAAATGAAAACCCAGTAAAACTTGTCATAGATTAAAAGTAGCCATAAAAATGTGAAATGCTAGCTAGATCATATATTTATTATTGCCGACCCAAGTTTCTAAGCCCGCAGTCTGCTCCCTCTGTCGGGGAGAGAGAGGAGAGAGGAGCAAGTAATTGCCAAGGATTAACCTAAGATTATTCTCCTAAGCATGATCAGAAATATTAAAACAGTGCTGAAAAGACATCTCCTATGCCCGGTAAAAGTGACTCGTATACAGTGTGTCCTCCCAACTTGGGAAATACTACAGTGATTTGGAACCTCAGTTGGCTTCTTTGATAGTAAATAGTGACGAGCAGTTATTTGGCGCAGCTATTCAACTGGTAGCAGTTTAGGAAGGTGTTCAGCAGGCTGAGGGATCTAGAGGGATAACCTTTCTCCCTTCCCCTGACCCGTGGGATTAATGGGCACTCCCAAGGGAAAGAACTGCCAGTGGCTGTTTGCCAGCTCTGACTTCTGAACTGAGGGAAGGAGAGATGGAGCCATGATTTCCCAAATGCAGGAACTTGGCCTCCTCCTGACACCTTGGGTCTCGCCTCTCTAGAAAGAGAGTTGAGAAAAGTCAGTCACCAAGCCCAACTTTTGGCTCCAATATTTAATTTCACCATGGATTTGTTTAAGCAGCGCAAGGGGGATTAGACTCCACACCCTAGCCAAATCCCCAGTTGGATTGTTCTCTTCTTTAATTCCCTTGTATTCCCTCTAAGAGGATCTGTTTTGTTTCTCACTCTCAAATACTCAGTGGTTCTTAGTTGTTTTTTTCTCCCAGTGACTGTGTTTCATCATCAGTGAATCAAGATATTTGTCTTTAATTTGTATTTTAGGGCAGATTTGCAAAAATCTTTGTGTTCTTTCAGAATAAAAAGTACCACCAAAATGTAGCATTACCCTGATTTAACTGGGAATTTGTCAGCTATATATTTAAGTTATTTTTATAATGGTCAACTTTTTAAATATTTTGTTTTTAAACAGTATTATTTTTTAAAATAATGCCTTTGGTTTTACATGTGTAATTAACTATTATTATCTTAAAATACTATTGTTTTGGTGCAATCCATTGTTCTAACAATTCTTTTTTCACCACTGTTTTACACAGCATTCTAATTGGGTTATGGGTACAAACCCAGAAAGCCATTTCTCACAAATAATTGGCGTAATAGTCTTTACACCACCTAGTGCTAGATTAAGGATTGTTGCACATTTTGGTGTTTCTAAAACTCACTGAGGAGCTAACACGCCGTGTCTCTTTTCTTCAGTGAAGCTTAATTCACAAAAGAATTTGACAGTGAACTCATAATACCTATATTCAAGCATAATGAATTGAAATTTCATTTTAGAATCTGGATTCTTTCACAGTTAAATATTCTAAAAATGGTTCCCACACACACATTCCAATTGAATGCTCCAGCATTCTCCCTTGGGTTTGGGGAGCACCTGCTGCTCATTCAGCACCTAGTGCTGAAATAGTAACTAACTGCCAGGCTTGGTTAAGGCTTGAGAATGTAGGGGGAGGATATAAGGCAAATAACAAAAGTCTTGAGGTGACTTAATGTGATGCCTCCTGAAGTGGCACAGAGTATCATTAGTTTGTTCAGGGATAATATATTGAAATATCTGCAACACCAAGTCGTTTTAAGGGCACGCTTATTGACTGAGCACAGATCTCAAAGGTGTACAGTAACCAGTCCTTACAGTTGTGCCAAGGAAAAGATGTACAGGGCCAACCGTGATGGCTCCCTCCTGTAATCCCAGCACTTGGGAGGCCAAGGCGAGAGGATCAGTTGAGCCCGGGAGTTTGAGACCATCCTGGGCAACATAGGGAGACAGTCTGACTCTGTCCCCCGGCTAGAGTGCAGTGGCCCTGTCTCCGCTCACTGCAACCTCCACATCCCTGGTTCAAGCAATTCTCATGCCCCAGCCTCCCAAATAGCTGAGATTACAGGCACATGCCACCATGCCCGGCTAATTGTTTATATTTTCATTAGAGTTGGGGTTTCACCATGTTGGCCAGGCTGGTTTCAAACTCCTGACCTCAGGTGATCTGCCTGCCTCAGCCTCCCAAAGTGCTGGAATTACAAGCATGAGCCACCACTCCCAGCCTCTACAAAAAATTTTTGTTAATTAGCTGGTGTGATGATGTGCACCTGTAGTCCCAGGAGGCTGAGGTTGGAAGATTGCTTGAGCCTGGGGAGGTCAAGGCTGCAGTGAGCTGCGGTTATGCCACTGCACTCCAGCCTGGGTGACAGAGTGAGACCCTGTCTCAAGAGAAAAACAGAAAAAGAGGAAGAAGAAGATAATGATGTACACAGATCACAATCCAGGTGCTGGCAAATGCCTTTACTTATCCAAGTCCTCACACCTGGGGGAAAACAAAATACAAATAAGTACTCACAGGCATTTTTCTCAGAATTCTTATAGGTAGGAAGTTACTGAAAATACTATTCCTTTATTCATATCATATCTATCCTGACTTTTTTTAATGCTTGTTAATTATCTTCATATACATTGAGGCTGTGTTTTGTTATTTCCCAGCAGTTAATAATGCTCAGATATCAAGAGATTCAAGAGTTTTGTTTTTTTGTTTGTTTTTGAGACAGAGCCTCACTCTGTCACCCAGGCTGGAGTGCAGTGGCACGATCTTGGCTCACTGCAACCTCCACCTCCCAGGTTCAAGCGATCCTCCTGCCTCAGTCTCCCAAGTAGCTGGGGTTACAGGCTCATACCACCACGCCCAGCTAATTTTTTGCATTTTTAGTGGAGACGGGGTTTCACAGTGTTAGCCAGGATTGTCTCCATCTCCTGACCTCATGATCCACCCGCCTTGGCCTCTCAAACTGCTGGGATTACAGGTGTGAGCCACCATGCTTGGCCTTTTTTTTTT